CACCTAGTCACTCTACCCAGAAATCTTGGTGCTTCTTAAATTTTCCTTCCCCTTCCATAACTGCCTATGAGTCACCAAACTCAGGCTTACTCAAAGCTGTCTCCTCCATCTCCACTGTCTTTGCTTTGGGGTTGCAATATCCACCATGCTCCTTCCAACTCACTTTCCACAGTGCTCCCAGTGAGTGTTCCAAAATGCAGTCTACTCCTTTTTCTCCTATGTTTAACATCTCAATCACTCAGACAATACTGTCCAAAGTATTTAAAAAGAAGTATTTTTGAGCCCTTATTCTGTACTAGATATTGTATTTCATTCAATCATCAAACTACCCTAAGATGAGATACATATTACATTAAAACTTTTTCTTCTTCTTACTGTTGTTATTGTGTTGGCGAAAAAGCCCATTTAGTGTTTCCATAAAATAAAAGAGCCCTGGCTGGTGTAGCTCAGTGGATGGAGGCAGGGAGCCTGCAAACCAAAGGGTTATGTTTCGATTCCCAGTTAGGACACGTGCCTGGGTTGCAGGCCAGGTCCCCAGCAGGGGGTGCGTGAGAGACAACCACACATTGATGTTTCTCTCCCTCCTTCCCTTCCCCCCTCTCTAAAAATAAATAAATAAACTCTTTAAAAAAAATAAGAGACACATTTAAAATTTTCACCAATAACTTCATTGATTTTAATATTTTGAGTATGTCAGCTATCTCCCACGTGGTATAACACTGACTCCTCTAAATTAATGTCTCGATATGACTGCTCTCAACTTCAAGTGGTCAACCGGACTGTGGAGAATTGTCCAGTGAGAAATCTGCAGCACGACACTTCACAAATCACTTTTGACATGTTCCAGTCACAGCACCTTCTGAACAAATCTTTTTGCATTTCAGTTGCGTTTTCACCCTTCTTGAAATACAAAGTATAATATGCCAAAAATGTTCTTGTGTTCTTCAATATTAAAATGGCTACAAAAAGATTCACCCATTTTGGTAAGTTTTTTTAAAATGCACACTCATATGACAGCTGTCACAATAAAATCTAACAAAATTGTTTCAAATGAAGTTAAAGACAACTAAGCACTATTAGAGCCATCTTACGGGGGAAAAAAAACAAATGAACTTTTCGGCCAACCCAATATATCGTATATTAAGGATTATTATATTCAGGCTCAGAGAAATAATCCAATATATTATATATTAAGGATTATTATATTCAGGCTCAGAGAAATTAAGTAGCTTGACCAATGTCAGAATTGAGAAGGGCAGAGGCCAGACACATACCATATTCTTCTTCCTATATTTTTCACCAACTTTTACAACATAACATCTGCCTACCCTCTCTCAGGACAGCACTACCTTGCACCGCGCTCCAGCACACTGAACTGCCCGCTGCTACCCAGGCAGCTCATTTGGAAATGTGTATGTAATCCCTGCTGCCGAGAAAGCAATTCTCCCCATTTAGATATCAGTGACCCCAGACCAGTTGGTTCCTGCTGCTTGCATGAACTTTTGAGCCCATTTCTACTTGTCTTTATCTCACGGTGTGGTAATTTTTTATATGTCTGTCACAAAACTGCTACTTCTTAAGGATGGGAACCCTTTCTTCTTCATTTTGGTATTCACAGCCCTAGCACAGTGCTGGCATGGTGTATGCACTTAATAATTGCTAAATGACAGGAATGCACATGCTCTTAAACATCTTTTCAAAGAAAAAAAAGCATTTTTCCTTCTTTTTTTTAAAAGATTTTATTTATTTATTTTTGAGAGAGGGGAGGGAGAAACAAAGGGAAACATCGATGTGCAAGAGATACTACATCAATCGGTTGCCTCTCGTACACCCTCAACTGGGGACCTGGCCTGCAACCCAGGCAGGTGCCCTGACTGGGTATGGAACTGAAGACCTTTCAGTTCATCATTTTATAAAACTTTCATAAACTCCCCTATGGTTACTGAACTTTGGGTCTTTGCTTCACTACACAGACCCACTGACTCCCTACGCAAGCACAACTCAGCCTAACTCTCAGGCAAACCTACCTGCCTGATCACACCTGCTCAGGACCAACTCCTACCAGAAGCACTGGGTGATATCTTATTACAAATCAGATTGGATTCCAAGGCATCTGCTTTGAGATCAAGTACCCCACCCAGCTGCAGCCAACTCTGAACAAGCCCTTGTTACCTGGCAATCTCTTGGTGGTAATCATAGTTCTCATCTTCCGCCAGCCACTCCACAGACCCCGTGGTCGGATTGGCCCGCCCGCAGAAGACTTTCATGGTGCCAATCAGCTCCTCGGTTTTATCACTTGCCAGCTTACTTCTTATGGATGGGTGAGATGGTCAGAAATCTAATCGCATCATAATGACCAAGAATAGAAAGAAAAAATCGTAAAAGACAAGATAACAAAAGAGAAATAAAGAAATTGACCAACAGGTCAAAGCCACTAAAAATATTTATTAACCAGTATTTTCATTTTTCCAGCAAGTTACTTGGTTTTATATTCCACACATAACATCAAAAACTATAATATGTAAGTTCATAAAGCTATGTGGAAACTTCAGCAGTCCTCAGTGATTACAACAGGGTTAAATTAGTTTGAACGTTAGGTCTGGGAATAGCCTCAAATAAAAGCAGGTGAGAAAGGAAATAAAGCAGAGGAAAGGGCTGGGAGGAAAGAACAGAGTTGGGATGGTGGTAAAGGAGTGTCAGCAATACTACCGAGGGATACTAAACACTTAGTTTAGGGAAAAATACAAAGATAGAGCAATTCAAACAAATTAGGAAAACCTTCATCTAAACAAGTAAGTCGCAGCTGTAGACAAACAGGGATAATCCCAGGAATATGATATTGAGGGGAGAAAAAGCAAATCACATACACACACAAAAGCAAATCACAGAACTTATACAACATTTACATAAAATTTTTAATTATGCAAATAGAACAATACATTCTTCAAGTATCACACAAAAACACATAGCAGGCAACAGGACAGTGGTAATCTTTAAGAAGAAAGGGAACATGGCGGGATCAAGGACAGCCACCCAGGGGACTTCAAAAGTAATATTCTTTTTCTAAAACTGGGTGGTGGGAATACAGGTGTTCATGATACTGTCATACTCTATGCCTCACTATTTTTTATAATAAACCCAGTATTTAATTTTAAAAGCAATTTTCAAAAAACCTTCATCTGAAAAAACTTTGTTTCAGATAAAGAGTGATACCAGACAGATAAAATGTCTTGCACAGTCTTTTCCCCCAAGGACAGAGGAACACCACAGCTCAAGGTGTGCAGGTAGGTCTCAGCAGGAATGAGCTCTACCAGTGCCCCACCTCTGACCACTCAGAAACACCCAGTGTTCCACACACCCCTTCATTTCCGGTTAAACCCTGGGCCATCTCCAGGAAACCTGATCACTTTTTGTGGAGGAGGTCCCCTAAATATTCCTGAGGCATTTTACTGGCCAGAGTTATTGAATTTCTTTTGAAGTTATCTAGACGAAGTAAACATTGATTCTTATACAAGAGGATGGGAAACACTCTCTTCTGAAAAGACTCAGGCTGTCAATGGCCCGGTTCAAAGTAGTCAACCTGACTTTCCGTAAAACTCTACTTCTACAGTCCCAGCTTACCCACTCCATAACCTAGCACTCTCAGTCCTTCTGACAACCCCAGCAAGAAATATATTTTACACTGAGTCACAATACATGCACTTGCACATATAACTCACAAGTTTTGCAAAACAGTACATATTTAGCCTTCCTATGGGCAAGGCTCTCATATAACTTATCCCATTTTTTCATTGATCACGATTCGCTAAATTGAGTTTGTAACTCAATTTAGGTTACAATTGAGGCTGTAACCAATGGTTTACAACCTAGTCTGAAAAACCATTGCTAAAATGAGCTCTGCACACTTCATATGCTATTTCTTTTAAAAACAGAATACCTAGAACTACCTGAATCTGTAAGGTGCTTTAGAAAACTGTGTCCACAAATGCCATAGTAGAAATAAATGACCACATCTCACTGAATGTTCAGGGAAGGCCTAAAAGACAGGTAGGATTTTGGTGGGCGTGGGAAGAGGGCACTTCACCACTTTAGAAAGGTTTAGGCTGTCATGCACAGAAGACAAATTAGTTTAGCTTAAGTTAAACCGAACAAGGAGTCAAACATGTTGATGGGGTCCATCCTGTGGAGGGTCTAGAAATCCTCATCCTGTGGAATACCCTTTTGGTCTGTGATGTTGCTCAGGATCACAGGGTATTTTCAGAGCAGTAGATAAGTCACTGGCTTCATATTAATCTAAATGAATATTTGAGAAGGGGAACCATGTCCTACAATTTCTCTGGGTGAGGCCCTATCATCTTCTATGGATAAATCTCTTCACCTATTACTGACTTGTCCTCTCCCCAAAGGAGACCGCACTCCAGATTCAGGAGATAGCCTGATCCCCTCTTCATTCTCCAAGAGCTGTCAACTCCTGTGGTCATTTACAAGGAGGAAATGGAAATCACCACGCCAAGCTCTGTTGAGGGGAGACTCCAGGTATGTCCTGTGAATCAGTTCACTGCGGAGGCGCTCCACCCGCCGGCCCAGCCAGCGGCAATCACCAGAGAGGACTGCAGAGCCGGGGCCCGCCTGGAACCCCGCTCTACTGCCAGACCCAGAGCTCTGAGCCGCCTCATGTGGACTCTAAAAAGGTCCTCAAGGGTCCCGCAGGGTTGTCTCCCGGCATCCGAGAACGCGCACGCCAGGCCCTGCTGCCTGAGGCCCGGAGATGAGAACAGGATGCTGGCTGCATCCGGGACTCCAGAAGCGATCCCACCTACCCAACATGGCCAGCGCCTCACCGCCGTGGGTACCGCTGTATTCACTCCCGCCGCCACTACCACATTGTCGCAGTCGGCGTGAGGGGGCAGGACCTTCCTACGCCAGCAGAACGTGCCGGGGGCGGGGCCCGGAAGCGGAACTTAAAGGTGCTCCCAAGTCACCCCTCGCGTTCCCACAGTGCTCCGCGACAGCTGCTATGGAGGCCCGCAGAACTGCTGTACTCCGCGTGAAACGGAAGCGCAGCGCGGAGCCAGCCGAGGCTCTAGTCCTCGCCTGTAAACGCCCTAGAAGCGACACAGTCGAGCCAGAGGCCCAACAGACGTCCCCCGAGGGCCTGGAGAGAGCAGCAGAGAATAATGTCTTCCAGTTGGTGGCCACCGTGCGCTCCCAGGTAGTGGGCGGGGACGGAGACGAGTGGAGGGACTCTTAGGGTGCAGCCAGGATGAAACTATATCCCTGACCCCTACACGAACCCCTTACTTACGCCGGCCCCTCTCCCCTACTGCCCTCTAGGAGGACCCTGTCCAGCCGCTTTTGCGGGCGGCTCTGCGCCCGTCCCAGGGCAGCCAGCAGCGTATCCGCCGCGACCTCCGCTCCTCGCTTCGGGAGATCAGGCAAGAGGGCCGCTACAGGGTGGTCTCTAGCTGCCGATCCTTGAACATTCCCTCGGATGGCCTGGAGTCCGAGGACTTGCGGGGAAACCCAGAAGCCGACGACGGCCCAGGCTTCCAGCTCTTGGAACTGATCCACGAAGAAGGAGACCCAGAGACCGCAGCCGCCGTCTCCTGCAAAGTGAGTACACGTTCGGAAGAGAGCTGGGCTTCTTCGGACAGGTAGTGCCAGGAATCTGGGTCAGCACACAGTTAAGAAGATGCACATGGTTTCACATTTTACTAATAGACGATCCCTCTGGCTTGATAGCCTTGTTTTTACAGGTTAGGTTATCTATTCAACAAGTACTTACTGAGCACTCATTATGTGCCAGGTATTCTGTGGCTAGAGCAGTGAGGACCTAACATTCAGATAGAGAAAAAAAACAAGTAAATTCAGTGTCATGTGGTGATGTAACCTGTAAGAGGGCATGAGGAAGGGGAAGCAGGAGAGTGGTTCCATTTCGGAGGTCTCACTGAAATGACATTTGAGTGAAGTCTTGAAGGAAGTGAATGGCAGGGCATTATGGATATCTGGGAGGGAGGGGCATTCGAGGCTGACGACCTACAAGCGCCAAGACTGTGAAGCCAAGTTTGTCTGATGTTTCGGAGGTAGGTCAGTGTGCCTGGAGCCCAGTTAACTGAGGGAGAATAGTAATGAAGTTGGGGGAAGGATATCTACTAGACCTTGTAGGTACTTCTAAGGGACCATTGTCTTTTTACCCTGAGATAAGGAATTACTGGAGGATTTTGAGCAAGGTGAAGATAGAGCAGATGAGAAAACTCATCAAAGGCAGGTTAAAGGAGTAGTCTTGGGTAACATACCAAGTCTGAGGCAGATTTGGGCCAAAAATGTTCTTTTTACCACATTACATACATGTTTCTTTTGTGCCTCACTTCCAGAAAACAAAGTCTGTATAGATTACGATTATAAGAGTAGAGAATTCTCAGACTAAGGCATTACCCCTCTTAAAAAATACTTAAAATTTGCCCTGGCTGGTGTAGCTCAGTGGATTGAGCACAGGTCTGCGAACCAAAAAAACCGCAGTTTGATTCCCAGTCAGGGCACATGCCTGGGTTGCAGGCCAGTTCCCAGCAGGGGACGCACCAGAGGCAACCATACATTGATATTTCTCTCCCTCTCTCCTTCTCTTCCCCTCTAAAAATAAATAAATAAAGTCTTTTTTTTTAAAAAAAAAAAAAAAAACCACTTAAAAATTTTTCACTCCTTTAATAGTTTTACGTTTTAAAAGTAAAATTTTAATTCAGAATATATCAGGCAAAACTATGGTGCTAGCATACTTGGATAGCAATTTGAGCATGATGTCTATAGCCACATATTTTAAAAAGTATTTTATTTATTTTTATACAGAAGGAAGGAGAAAGAGAGGGAGAGAAACATCAGTGCATTGTTGCTTTTGGTTGACACCCTACTGGCAACCCAGGCAAGTGCCCTGGCTGGGAATTGAACCAGTGATGCTTTGGATTGCAGGCTGGTGCTCAATCCTCTGAGCCACACCAGCCAGGGCTATAGTCACATCTTTTACCAACACTAATTCCAGACTGATTCATGAGTTACCAGTCAGATAATTTTTAAAAGTAAACCAGTGTTCAGCAGAATGAAATCAATTAAATAGTTCAGTTTTATAAGAAAAAACTGAAGGATGTGAACACAATTTTTACCAACAGTGGAAAACAAACTATAAACACATCAAGAATGGTTGCAGAGTAATGATTTAAAAAGCATGAATTTAAGGTGAAAGCAAACTTGAGGTTTCGTTCCTACTAAGACTAGCAGGGGAAAGGTAGCCCTGCCGGCAAGGTGGTGATTAAAGCAGAACATGACTAGTGCTTGAAATTGAGGCCAATCTTTTGGAAAACAGCATGGCTTTACATATCAGGAATCCTAAAAATAGCTTGGGGCCTATTTTAAAACCATTTAAATTTATTTTTATTGTTTGGACTCTAAAACCATCTAGAATTCTAAATTAGTGTTGGTATTTCTGTGCCCCATTATTGTGGGGGGGGGTTTCATAAATTGATATTATTTAAGTTAATAAAGTACTACTTAATAGGAAATCTGAAAAAGTGAAAAGCCTTGGTTCATTTTTATCTAGTAATCTCACCCCTGGGATTTACCCTAGGGAAATACTTCAGCAGAAACAGACATCTGTGGCATTAACAAAAGCTGCTGTTGGTTTAAATTCATTTAATCCTCACAAAATCTCTATGAGGTAGGTACCAGTACTTTTAAAATATATATATATTATTTATTTTTAGAGAGAGGGGAAGGGAGGGAGAAAGGAAGGGAAACATCAATGTGTGGATGCCTCTTGTACACGCCACACTGGGGACCTAGCCTACAACCCAGGTATGTGCTCTGACTCGGAATCAAACCCACAACCCTTTGGTTCACAGGCCGGCGCTCAGTCCACTGAGCCATACCAGCTAGGGCAGTACTGGTACTTTTATCTTCATTTTCAAGTGCAGGAAAATTGACTACACAACTGCCTGGACCTTTAAAATAATAACCATGAAGACTGGGAAAATGGGAACATATATAAAAACAAATATATATGTTTATGAAGTGGCAGGTGATGGCTTGTAGTAGTTATCAGAGCTCAGGAATAGCTCTTAGGTCCCTATAGGAGGCCACACAAAATGCAGACCTATATATATAAACATAAACATGTGTATATGTTTAGTGGTAGAAAATGCTATACGTAGTATAATTGAAAATATGGGTAAACACAGACTTGACTTAAAAGTAATTTTTTATGAAAATGATCTTTATTATAGGAAATTTGAAAAAAATATAGCAAATAAATTTGACTGCATAATCTACTGGATTGAGGTCTGGGGACTTGTGAGTCAGAGCCAAAGCTTCCCTTTAGAACAGCTTTGAAGGTAGTTAAGAGTCTGCACAAAAAATAACATCTCTAGTTCCTTTTGACTTCAGAGCAAAGAAGAATTGATTCCCTTTAGCCTGTGATTGAGAGCACTGGCCTCCCCTCATCTGCCTTGGCCATGGGATGTCCCCGCTTCCCCATGTGGTGTCTGGTTGGAGCTGCACAGCCCCCTGTGATGAATCTGTTGAGGGGGTCATTTGCAGCATGTCCCTTTGGTTTCTAAATTGACCTGTGCTGCCCTGGATGACAGCCTGTTACCTCTGCAGTACCTCTAAACCCCGGGCCAGTTCCATTCTGGGGCAGTCCATCTTGAGCTGTTCTTTCTAGCAGGAAAAGGATTATAGGGGGATCCACTCCTGGTTGTGATTAAAAGCAGGACGTCAATGTGGGCAAGGGAAGTGGTGGGTGATGGCTTGTAGTAGTTATCAGAGCTCAGGAACAGCTCTTAGGTCCCTAGAGGAGGCCACACAAAATGCAGAGCTTTGGGGGGTCAGCTGTAGGGGTGCTTTAGTGGCTCTGCAGATCCCCAAGGGGAGATCATCCTACCAAAGGAGCTCAGGAAGACCTAGGGTAAGACTCAACAGCTCTGCTGGCCCTCCCCTCTCCTTAGGCCCATCTTCACACATGCTCTTACATCAGCCAAGCACAAAAGAGTAGGAGTCTGTCTTGTAAGTGTCTATGTCAAATGAAGAACTACACATTACTTTTTTTAGAGATACTTGGTTTTTGAATCTTATAGCTAATTAAGAAGAAACTAGTAGGCCATGGGAATAAGAACGTCGAATCTGACAGACGTGTAGGGAGGCTTCCTTCCCCCAACTCTTAGCTTCCTTCTCTTTGAACATCCATGTTATCTGCTGTTTTCTTTACAGGCATCTGACCCAGATGTGATCCTCTGCAATTCTGTAGAGTTGATCCGGGAACGGCTGACTGTGTCTGAGGATGGACCAGGCGTCGGGCAGCAGAAGGAACAGAAGGATGACTATGTGTATGACATTTACTACCTGGAGATGGCCACTCCAGGATGGATTGAGAATATCCTCTCCGTGCAGCCCTACAGCCAGGAGTGGGAGCTGGTAAGGGGACCCGGGAGGATGAGGGGCACGAGGCAGCCAGACCAGTTCTGCAGTCCGTGTACTTTCCCTCCCTGGGTTATCTAATCCTGATCAACGATGTTCTTGGTTCCTTCTGTTCTTGCTTAAAAGGAAAAATTTATTCTCAGTGCCTTCTAAGAACCTGGGTTTAATGCAGAGAATTTTGGAAGAGTCTATATTTAGAGTTTTTGCTCTTAATGAATTTTTTAAAAATTTTTATTTATTTATTTTTAGAGAGAGAGGAAGGGAGGGAGAAAGGGAGAGAAACATCAGTGTGTGGCTGCCTCTCACGTGGCCCCCAGTCGGGGAGCTGGCCCACAACCCAGGCATGTGCCTGACTAGGAATCGAACTGGCGACTCTTTGGTTTGCAGCCTGTGCTCAATCCACTGAGCTACACCAGCCAGGGCCCAAACTTTAAAGATTCCCAAAGACGTGTAAGCATCAGTGACTGGCTATCAGTTGAACAAAGGGGAAGTTTTCAAACATCAGGTGCTGCGTAACTTTCTGCTGTCTTTATTTATGAATTAACAGTTTTCCCTTTATCCATCTCTCCCAGGGCAAGTATAGCAGTTTGATCAGGTATTGATAGTAATAAACCTGAATTCCCTTCACGAGTTTGATAAATTAAAATGCAAAAGCTCATATATAGTGTTCAGTTGCACTGTGAATCTTGTGGGAAGCTGGGAAGACCACCTTAGTAACTCACCAGAATATGAAATTTAGTCTCACAATTTCTTGGATACAATTCCCTCTCAAACCTTTGCCTCACAGATTAAATTCCAAAACTAATCAGGTGACGAGGAGGTTTATCTCACCAATGGACGTATCTGTTATTTCCTCCTGTTTGTGAGGTCAATGGCATGACAGCAGAGGCAAAGAGGTGTATAATCGATTCTTAAGGTATTAAGTCAAAAAGGTCAGAGCTTCCACAGCATGGCAACAGCTTTGCAGATGCCTACATCATGATAGTTGAAATAGCAAAGCCCAGCAAAGGTAAAAGCTGAAAGTGCTAAAAGGCCTGCCTTGGCAGCTTTGTGCAATGCATCACCATGCACGTAGTCGGTAACAACTTGTCCAAGGCCCCAGTGACCATGGAGAGTGAGGACTGCAGCCAGGGAGTAGTCCATCATGGAGGAAGGATTCAAATAAGCAGCTGGAAGCAGACCCAGGAGCAAAACACTGACAACCCTCTCACCAGTCCAGTGGAGAGAGGCAACCATTGAACCAGCTACAGAAAGAGAGAACATTGTCGGCTGGGTGACAGGTGAATGTGCTGTATTCCACATCATCCTGGCGTAGGTTGATCCTGGCGTAGGTTGGTCCTGGAGAAATGCTGAGTTTGAGCAGGTCTAACTGGGGTTCAGAGGAAAGCTCAGCCTCCTTGGGCACCACAGAGGACACTCAGCCTCCAGATACTCGCCATTTCGCTCCTTAAGCTCTAGGTCACCCTTAATGAATCTTTTATAAGGTTCATGACATCATATTTATTGTTTATACTTTCCCACACTCTGGGGGGGGAAAGTATAGCAGTTTATAATAAAGACCAAAAAAAAAACCCAGAAATTTTCATATGAATTTTTAAAAATTATGTCTTACAAGGGGTAAAATCTTGGCTCTGGCTGGTGTGGCTCAGTAGATTGAATGCCAGCATGCAAACCAAAAGGTTGCCAGTTCAATGCCTCATCGGGACACATGCCTGGATTGTGGGCCAGGACCCCAGTTTGGGAGCATACGAGAGACAACTGATCAGTGTGTCTCTAGCACATCGATGTTTCCCTCTCTTCCTCCCTTTTCCCCTCTAAAAATAAATAAAATCTTTTTTAAAGTGGGGGGGGCGGGGGGAGTCGGGTTAGGTAAGATGACTTCCTATCATTATTCTTAAATTCTAAAATGATTACTGAGAGAAGGTGGTACCTGTCATGCTCCTATGAGAAAAGTACTTTGTTCCACACCTACACTACAACCACCATGTGAGTCCTCGCATGGCCCCTCCTTTTGTCTTCCTGCACCCCTCATTCTTGGGTTCTGGTTCTGCTCTCTGACATCACCCACAATCCATACAATCCCTCTCCCACCTGGCTGCCCTGCGGCAGTTTGAACCTCCCTGTCATTACCTGCTCAGAGCGGCTCTCCGTGCCCTGGGGGCGTTCTTTTTTTGAAGTTCGGTCTATCGCACTAGGAATGTGGTTCCTGGAGCTGGACTTGGGAGTGGCGTAGGGCCAGTGTCTCCCTCTTGTAATCTAAGTGAAGCCTGTTGTGCAGCAGGGACAAACTAATCCAAGGCTGCCTCTTTTTCACACAGCACCCTTAAATGACATCTCTCCAAGTTGGTTTGCTAAGATCATAACCTTAGATGTTTTGACTTATATTCATGTTTTGTGTTGAGATGTGCAGGTGAATGATGACCAAGAACCGGAGGACATTTATGAAGATGAAGATGATGAGAACAGTGAGAATAATTGGCGCAATGAGTACCCAGAGGAGGAGAGCAGTGACGGAGATGAAGGTTCCAGAGGTAGGAGGATGGCAGCCCTGGATGGGGAGGGACTGCTGGGCTCCGAGACTGAGGTATGAGCACAGTTGGCAGGTCCATCCAAACTGGCCTTTCACCATGAAGCTCCAGTAGCTCAACCACAGGCTGCTGGAGCTGTAGGAAGCCCACGGACCAGTGTTCCCACGGGGTTGCTGGAGGTGTGATGTCAGGGGTGGGTTCAAGTCCCGAGTTCTGTCATGGCCTGGCTGTGGGTCTTAGGCAAGTTTCTTCACTTCATTGAGCCTCATTTTCTCTCCAGAAAATTAGAATATCACACCAGCTTCAGTGGTTGAGATGAAGTGAAACATCTAGCTCAGTGTCCCTTTCCTGGCTTCAGGCTAAGAGAGGGACAGGTCCCAAGTGCCAACAAAAAGAATTTCTTTGTATCTGTTAATGGAGGAAAACTATGTAATCAAACTATGTAATAACCTATTGGGAAAGTGCCTGTAATATGCTAAAAGGGAAAAGTTTCAAAATTATATTTATCATATTGCTGTAACTATTATAACCAAAAAAATCCTTACGTAGTGGAGAAATAACAAAATACAGCAATGTGATTTTATTTGTTCTAAATTCTCTTTAAGGAACAAGTATTTTTAAATGGCGAACCAAAAAAAAACAAAAAACGAAACAAAACAGACATTTTGAGAAGGGACGGGGCTCTCGGAGTCACCTAAAAAAATCATGCGTTTGGAGCCCATTCCTCTCATCTCATTCTAGGCTCTGATGAATACAACAGCTTCAGTGAAGAGGAAGGAGGCGACAGCAGACCACCCATGTGGAACAAATACCCTTTGGATGTGCAGAAGGAGTTCGGCTATGACAGCCCCCATGGCCTGGATTCAGACTGAGGGTCCTGTGACGTTCATGAGGTTCTGCACAGGCCCCGAGGGCTGTAGTCTTGCAGCATCAGCTGCTCTGGTAATGGGTTTCCTGGTGCAGCGCGTGGAAGGAAAAAAAGCATGTCCAGCAGCATCATATCCTACCAGTGAAAATGAGTCCTGAAGGAGAGTGTCTTTCCACTCATAGTAGGGCCCCTTTGCTTCAATCATAACTGACCCTACAATTGGGGGCAAAAAAACAGCCACAAAAATGAAGCTCCCTGGCCCAGGCATTTTCCACTCTTCTCCCACACTAAAGCCAATAAGTGGAGGAGAAGCTCCTGTTTCGTCAGAACCAAGGTTCAGCTTTCCACGCCACCAGGCCACCCGCCTCTGGTAAAACCTGTCCGTTTTGAGAGAGTGAACCTAGAAGGACTACAGTGGGTCCCGTGTGGCAGCACAGTAATGGCCATTAGGAAAGGGAGTGGGACCTGTCTGAGGCGGGAGGGGTTTTAGTTGCAGTTGTCTCCATGTCCTGCTTCCTGCAGTGTGACTGGGAGGACGGCTGTCCTCAGCGGCAGTGCCGGGGGACAGGGTGTGTGTGAATGTGATTCTATCTAGTAAAAACACTTCAAATATATGAATGTGCAACTCCTTGAAAACCCTTTAAACCTGAATGTTAGGTGTTTTCCCATTGTGCTCCCTCTCCCCCTCAAGCCCCCCAGCAAAAATGGGGGATCAGTGAGGAGGAAGTTTCAGAATTGGCCTTAGACAATACAAACTTAAGGCAAATTAAGAAAAGGAAAAGCACATCCTGAACTTAGCTTTCCACTTAAAAACATTAACTAACTACTTACAATAGTCACCAGAAACTACCAACAGGGCCAATTTTTTTTTTTTAAGCCAGGACTTTTATCTCTTGTAAGCAAAATCTCTATCCCTACCCCTTCCGAACCACAGCTGCCCTGACTCTGAGTTGGCATTGAGCCTTCTAATGTAACACTGTCCAGTGGAACTTTCTGCAAAGATGACTGTTCTATGTAGGCGCTGTGCAGTAGGAGCCACTGGCCACATGTGGCTGAGCACTTTTAATGTGTTGAGTGCAGTTTTTGAGGAACTGCAGTTTTTTATTTTAACTAGCTACATGTGGCTGGTAGCTAACTGTACTGGATAGCAAGGCCTATGGCAATTAATACACAGGACCTTCTATTCAAGATGTGCCCTCTTAACAGAAAACTGTACTTGAACAACAATTAAATAAATTTAAAAAAAAAAAGTGCCCTCTTGCCCCGTAACACATACACTCTGTCACATGAGAAGGGGAATTACACAGGGACATGTCTCCCCACCTCTTTCAACATTTCATAAGCATCTCTACTTTTCCATCCTGCCTTCACTCAATTCTTTTTGTAAGTCTACCTACATGAGTTCCTATCTACACAGAGTTAAGCCTGGCAAAATGATTAAATTTCACATGTGTGTGTTCTCAGGCTCTACTACTGCAGCTGTAAAACCAACAGACTGTTGGTTTCTGACCCTAACTATCCACAAAGGTACAATTCAGTGTTGCAAGTAACAGGCAGCAACTTAAATGCACAATACTAGTCATCTTAGTCTTCTGTAGGCGCAGAAACAAAGGATTAAAAAACAAAACACTGTACCATTGTAATGTGCTCACTGCTATTTATGTACTCATTGAGGTTTGCCAACATTAAACAGCCAACAATGTCACAAACTGTACCCACTGCAAAAGGGATTAGCACACCAGGAGAACTGAGGTTGGTGAACAAAAACCTCATGGAAGTCAGTTCCACCGTGAAGCCTGAGTGGAGAAAGTCTCTGGCGTCCCTCCCACAGGGTGGTTCCTAGGAAGAGTCTGTATCCAGCAGAGAAGGGAAGAATGCAGTTACCACCCAGTAAGGAGAGGAGGGTGACATGGCTCACTAAGCAAGTATTAGGGCACCTCGGGTGTGAGGCCCTTATTTCCCCTGGGAGCCACTAGGGAGCAGCAAGTTCCTGGAATTAGCTGGTCATGTACTTGAGAAAGCTAAAGCCTGGCTCAGGGATCCTCAAGACAAGCGTACTGCGCTTAAAGGATTAGCTCTGGAGGATCCTTGGGACAGATGCCAGCCTCACTCAGTCAGGAGTCATGTTTACATAGTCAACACAAGTTATTACCCTCTGCACCAGACTCCCTGTTGTCGGTCAGGAATCTGCTGTGCACACCCCCAACCCAGGATAGTAGGAATGTCCCCCCCACATTCTCACAAATGCCTGCCCTAAAGCAAAAGCCACTGTGAGCTCGATCCCCTATGTTGTCTTTACTGAGCAAATGTGCTCTACCCCCTTGTCTGAGATGGGCCAGTTTGGTGGAGAAAGCTGGTCAGAAAGGAAGATTTCCTTGTAGTTCTTGTCTTTACCATTGGTCAATCCCAAACCCTAAGGACAAGAAAAGCCCACAGGGCATGCCAGCCAGCAGGTTCTTCTGGTCCCATGATGACAGTTGGAGGACATCCCAGAGAAACTGTACAATCCAGTGAGGCCATGCTGCTAGAAGGAGCATCCATTAGAGCAAACCTACTGCTCTGGCTTGATCTGGATGCCAGAGAGCAGCCTGAGCACCAGAATCTGTTGTTTCCAGTCACGCAGTCTGCTGAGAAGCCAGACTGAGGTTGAAGCAGCTTTCCCCCCAGTCTTCACTGATCAAGGGGGAAAAATACAGAAGTCTCCACAAGTACCAAGGTCTTCCTGAGACAAGTCCCACCAGACCTCGCGCCAGGAGGCAGGCGGGAGAGGAGTGCGCTATCCTGATGATCCACACCAAGGCGGCTCAGTGTAAACAAAGCCTGGTGTTGGGAACAGAAGAGGAGGATGCAGCCTGGTGTGAGGTTTTCTGGGAAAAAAAGACCACCTCTAGCACCGCGGTGTGCCTGTGTGGGTCTGCACAGCAGCCCCTCACACTGACCTTTACAGAGGGGAACAAGCTAGTTGGTGGCTTGGGTCCATGAGACATTAACAGCTGAAAGAATCCAGGTGATTCACCTGAACTCTAGAAGTCTCTGTCCTTTTAAAGTTCGTACCAGAAACCCAGAGATTTACTTTATCAACTAGAACAAAGACAAGGTCTCAAGTAAAATAAAGGATTATCCTTCAAAATAGCAGTACTGCCAGACTTCTGACTCACGAACTGGTTCACCTGTCCTTGCTGAACTTCAGCCAGGTGCTTGTAACATGTCATCCACCTATATACTAAAATGTACAGGAACATGAGTAAAAAACCTTTAAAGGTAGCCTTGGCAAGTAAGACTTCACAGAAGATTGTGCTAAACCAAGCAAAATCTGCGGTTAGTCTGGCCCACCACCACATAGAGACACCTCTTAAAGACAGAGGGCCCTGGCTTTGGTACTTGGGAATATAATCTCCCCGGGGAAGGGTTTTGAACTAGAGGAAGAAATGGTAGCTTTTTAGGCCTCCAGTGCCTGGACCTGGTCAGAGGAAAACTTCCCATAAAAGCAGACGCTTTGTAGAGACTCCTGATTCAAACCTCAGATACCACATTTAGAAACCACCAGCTACGTCTATTAACCTAGCTAGCACTCTTCTTCCCCCAGTGCAACTCAGCAAGTGTCCAGAAGGGATGCACCACCCTCCTGGAACAAAACCCAACCAATTCCCGAGCCCCGCCACCACCCCCCTCACCCCCCACCCCCCACCCCCAGTCCCCACCTTCAGGCTGGCCCCAGACTCCGAGTCTCTTCCCATAGCTTACCAATAAGAGCGACCACCTGAGGAGGCCATCAGCCCTAAGCCCCCTTACATAATGTGGGCCAACAGGCTCCTTTAATACAAGAGAGTTGGGCCCACACAGTTGTGTCATCTGGACTTTGGTGGCTGTGGCCACCGTTAGCCAACCTTCCAGGCCTCAGGGGACTTTACCGCAAGCTCTAGTCAGTTTTCCTCTCAACCTTTCCCTCTTCAGCCACATCTAGCTCAGTCAGGACACAAAAGCAAATGTGCTGGGTGACTCTGGTGACAGCAGCTAAATGAAAAAAGGAGAGAATTTAGCCAACTGACATTCAGCTACAACTCCACTCTAAACACCACAAGGCTGATTATAGCACATCTGTGGCTCCCTCCCCACCTCTCCCTCGCATATCCCATGCCAGGCTTTGCCCCTCACCCCCCAACAAGCCTCAACATCCCCAGCCCCACGCATGGCTCCTCATCTTTCCACATAGATTGCACTTTCAGGGGGTAGTGTTTTAACCCCAAAATAGGACTCTAAAGATAAAACTAGTGATCATATCAGGATCCAAAGCGAAAGAGTCACATGGGGCGGCCAGTTCTCATGGCCTCCAGCACTTCACTAGCATGGAGGAAGCTGTCAGCCACTCGCCCCCCTCCACCTCTCCAAATGTGCGTGCACACACCTGGCCAGTGAGTGATGGACAAAGAGAAGCTCACCTATGATATTCCGAATGAAGAGTGGCCTCTGGGACTCTGGCAAGTAAACACCCAGGAAGTAGATGGGGACTCCGGAGAGGGCGATCCCAATGCCAATGAGGGAATTGATGGTGTCACCAAAAAGGGGCACAATGACCAAAAACAAGGAGCATATGCAAAACACGATGGGAAAAACCAGGCTGAGCTGAAATGGAGGGAGGTGAGACATTAGGTAAAACCGGCATGGGGAATTGGGTTTGGGGAAACAGGTACCGTGGGGAGAGGGCCCCGCCCTTTTAGTCTGCCTACAGCCACTGACCTTGAGAGGCCGGGGCCGGTTGGGCTCCTTCCAGCGAAGGTAGAGCTGTCCAACCACAGACAGGCCCACAAAGAACCAGTAGCTGAAGCTGAAGTAGTTGATGAGCAGGAAGACATCCTCCACAGAGAGGTAGATGAGTGCCATGGTGCACTGGAGGGGGAGGGAGGGCGCAGGAGAGAGCAATGTCACCAAGAGGGCGATGCCACCCCACGAGGCTCCACCATCCAGCAGTCAGCACCTGATCTGCTAACTGCTAATTTAGCTTCACCAGATCACCTCCGATTCTCTTCAGTGGCCCCTTGGCATCACAAAGGTCCATTCTCTACCTTAACCTTCAAGGTGGTATCTCTCCTTTTTCTGTTGGGGGGCCCTTCCTCTACTCAATGCCTCTCTTCTTTTTGCAAACTTCAGTAACAAGCCAAACTCTGCTCCCCTTCTTATGGCAGACAGTGAGGCCCTCTTAACTTCAACCATCAACCTCAACATGAACACAAGGTGCCCTCTAGATCTTTACACATGGGTCCTAACTACCTGGCGTACAAATGGGCAAATGCCTCCAGAATCAGCTCTCTTGTCCTGGCACCTTAGAAATGCAGATTAGATGCCCTGGCTTATGCAGCTCAGTGGACTGAATGCCAGCCTAAGAACCAAAGGGTCACCAGTTTGATTACCAGTCAGGGCACACACCTGGGTTGCAGGCCAGGTCCCCATTGGGGTGCGCTCAAGAAGCAACCACATACCAATGTTTCTCTACCCCTCTCCTTCCCTTCCCCTCTCTAAAAATAAATAAAACCTTTTAAAAAAATGTAAAAATCTTACAAGTTCATTTTAATATTTTTATAGCATTTGCCTCCTCTAATATGATATTTTACCTTTATATTTTAAAGTCATTGTAAGAAAAAAGAAACACTGAGAATTGCAGGAAGTATCTCAAGGAAGCTAGTATATCTCCCACCCTACGGTCTTCTCACAAAGTCAGCAGGAGCAGTACAGAGATACACCCAGGCCCCACACTCCTCCCAGAGCTTACGTTGAACAATAAAGCAGGGATAGGCGTAAAACGCTCAACGTGGATCATGGATAGAAGGTCTGGGAGATGGCCCTCACGGGAGCCCACGAAGAACAACCTGGAGGGACAAGGAATGTGTCAGCAGGACCCTCTCACTCAGCCATGTAGCCACACTCCTCACTCAGACAAACTAGGCTCAGAGCCCAGAAAAAGCAGGGAGCAGTCTCTAAGGAGCATCCCACGTTCTCTCTGCATGCCCAGCCCAACCTACCCCCTTTACCCACGAATGTCTCCACCCTCTTCAGCCGGGGGCACCTAAGACTGTCCATAATGCCCTGCCCCACTGTCACCCACTGACACCCCCAGACACCGCCATCACCCACAGACACCCCCACTTCTCTCAGTCACAGATACACTACTATCATCCAATGGATGCCTCACCCTGCAATCACCCGCTGGCACCCCAACTCATCCCACCAAAGGTACCTTCTTCACCTTGCCATCCATAAATTTCATACTTAACACAATGGCTTTTTTAAAGAATTTATTTATTTTTAGAGAGAGAGGAAAGGAAGGAGAAAGTGAGGGAGAGAAACATCAATGTGTGGTTGCTTCTCAGGTGCCCCCTGCTGGGAACCTAGCCTGCAACCCAGGCGTGTGCCCTGACTAGAAATCAAACCGGCAACCCTTTGGTTCACAGGCCAGCACTCAATCCATTGAGCCACAGCAGCCACGGCCAAAATGGCTTTTTAAAGAAGAGCAACCAGACTTCTGTTGTGTTCTCATATATCTTCTCAGAGCTCTCAACATGTGATAGGCCAGGGCAAGCCTGGAGCTCAAAGAGACAACCCAGACTTCCTCTCTGCACCTACAGACCCCTGCTGACTACGAAACAGAGCAGCAGAGGAATGAGCACCACCCGCGGCAGTCAGCGGCATCACGGAGCACACAGCACTCACCAGGCTTGGGGGTGGCCTGGGGGAACAAAACACTTTGCAAGAGATGACTACATCTGGCCTGAGAAGAAGAGCTGGAGTTTGCCAGAAGATGAGTGGGTGGGCAAAGGCAAAAGAGACCTGGAGGTGTAACAGTGTGGCCTCTTTGAAGGTTGGTGCTAAAATGCTTGTAGTCCCAGGATAAGGTGTGTGAGGAGTATGCTAGGAAGAACTTGCATACCAGGCCGTGCTGTGGAATCTGAACAAGCGTGACGGCCAGCTACGGCTCTGAAGTAAGGGCCCGGCTTGATGCAGAGCCTCTGGTAGCACCATGAGACCAACTAGAGCAGGGAGAAACTAGGGTATGGAGAGAAGGCCAGGCAAGGAGGTCGTCCATGACACCTTTCCCGTAAGAGAGGAGAGAGGAGGCCTGAATGAGGGTCGATGTGCACCTGCTCGCACACGCACGTGTACACACTGGGAGAAGAGGGTGAACACCAAAAACAAAATCAAGAAGCAAGGAGGTCTGACAGTCCACAAAATCACAGCTGGGCACAAAGCACAGGCGGGGTGCATGTGAAGTTTGAGATCCTCGTGAGTCACCCAGGGGGAGGAGCCACAGGAGTCGGTGATATCACCTAGAAAGGTGTCCCAGGGGAAGATGTTGGAGCTGGCTGATGAACTTAATCATCTGTACTAGGTAGAGAAGGAATGGGATACAGGGGATGCTGCATGGGAATAATGTGTAGGTGAGGCTAAGGTGTCTAGTACAAAGCCAAGGAGAGCTGCACGGGTAATAAAGAAAAACTGAAGAAGGTGACACTGGCAGAAACAGTGGTGGGTTTACTGTTCAGCACTTAAGTCCCCTTTATGTGCACGGCCAGATTCTTACCCTCTTGAGTCCTCACCAACCCCATCCGGTCCATGCCACAAGATAGCTGAGTACAGTTAGAAGGCACCTACCACCTAAATATTTGGGGACAGCTGGCAAGGCCAGTTGGGATGTCTTTAGCATCAACAAGGATGAGGCTATGGGAAGCACCATCTTTGGGTGGGAAGCACCATCTTTGGGTGGGAAGCACCATCTTTGGGTGGGAAGCACCGTCTTTGGGTGGGAAGCACCGTCTTTGGATGGGGCAGCTTGTGAACAGCTGCATCAGGTGCAACCTTGGCCACAGCAGGCTGATGTGAAAGGAGATGATGCCATATTTTTTTTACAAAGCCTTGACTTTGCTCTTACTCTGGTTGTCCCAGGGAGGCCCCAAATACATGGACTAGAGTATCAAAACTAGTTAAGAAGAATAAATAGTACAAAACCTTCTCTTATCCTCCTATCTGCTCATGCGGCAAGTTTTAATTGAATGCCTATTACACACCTGGCCTTCGGGATAACAACATTTATAGGGTGAGTAGAAGAAAAATCAGGAAAGAAGTCTTCTCAGCTACCAGAGTGTCACAGAAGCCACAAGAGCCATTTCACAAGTACTGTAAAAGGTTGTTGGTACTGCTTGCTTCCTGGGTCCAGCAGAATAAGAACTATAAAAGCAGGCCCTGGCTGGTGTGGCTCAGGGGACTGAGTGCCAGTCTGCACACCAAAGGGTTGCACGTTTGATTCCCAGTCTAGGGCACACGCCTGGGTTGCAAGCCAGGTCCCCAGTAGGGAGCGCTCGAGAGGCAACCACACACTGATGCTTCTCTCCCTCTTTCTCACTCCCTTCTCCTCTCTAAAAATAAGTAAATAAAAGCTTATTAAAGAAAAAAAAGGAGTGCTCTATGGACTCACCTAAAGCCTCCAAGAACAATCGAATCTGTTATCAGTGAAGCAGAGACACTGTACCTTGATGAAGCAAAGATAGACGCATTGAGGCCCCCAAAGCAGGACAGGGCAACAGCGATGGGAATAGTCCAGCTGAAAACGCCAAAGGTCTGGTCAGCAAATGTCTGGGGGCAGAACACAGAAGGTGCACTCAGCACAGGACAGGGTTTCAAAAGCCTCCTGTATCAAGGCTGTTGGGTGCAACACAGACACTGCGGAGCAGCCCACCCGCTGGTCTAGACTCATTACCTCGCCTGGCAGGGCTGGAACGGCTGCAGAAAGACGGAGCCATTCCGCATAAGATGATGAGCAATGGGGATCCTGAGAGACTCACCACAGCCACGGCATCGCTGCCAAGGACATCTGAAATGTTCAGCACTGTGTAATAGGCCACGTTGGTCAGAATGTAGATGAGCGTCACAATTGGCAGAGAAATCCCAATGGCCAGGGGCAAATTTCTGTCAGGACAAGTGAGACAGGACTACCTAGAACCAACCTCTCCTTGAGGTCAAAGTTCACCCGAAAATTTTTCTTACATTCAACAGTTCCCTGGCCTCTGGGTCTTTAAGGCACTTCTTCCCCACGTGGCCTAGGGTGAGTATGCATCCCATGCCCCTGGGCACTTGTAAGGGGGGGGGCGGGAGAGAGATCATGAGAAGATAGCTCATGATCAATATTTGGTGCTTGCCATGCTAGGACCCCCACTGAAGAAGGGACAGTGTCCTCCAGGGACTAGAGACCAGGCTGAGAATGAACTTCTGGCTCCCCAGACCTCAGTGTCAGCACCAGACTGCAAGGCCCTAACACATCGGGCCCAGATGCCTCCCACTGGACAACCTCTCCTCGAGGGAGGCCCTGGCGTCCTCCAGGATGAACGTGAGGGCGAGGAGCCAGGAGCTGTCCCACCTTCCTGCATTCCATCCTAACCCTTAATCCCTAGTCCCTCAGAGCTTGAGAAGGAATAGGGAGAGATGAGAGACGAGGGGAGGGAAGAGCTTGCCCTCTACCAGCAGGAGTTCCAGCCACGCTGGGGAGTGAGAGCTGGGGAGTGAGAGGGTGAGCCCGCCTTTACCTTTCTGGGTTTTTGATTTCTTCTGTTACAAAATTAAGGGTATCCCAACCTGAGTAAGAGAAGAGGGCAGAGTAGAGGGCGAGAGAGAGTTTTCCCATGTCCCAGGAGGAACCCTCAAAGGCGTCCTGAAAGTGCTCAGAGTGTCCTGTGGGAGCAAAGGTCGGTGGGGGTTCAGGGGGAAGGAAGAGAAAGAAGGAGAAGGGGGGGAGAAGAGACAGGAGGGGGGATAAGAAAGAGGAGCAGAAGATGGAAAAAAGAAGAAGGATCAAGAAAAGAAGGAAAAACAAGAAGGAAGGGGGAGAAAAAATAATTTAACACCAAAAGAACGACAACCACCAGCTCCCTGTACTTCACCACCACCCCCGCCCCCTTAGGAAGGTTCCCGTTACTTCGGTAAAACTGCACGATCTCAGACAGAGGAGAGCACTCCTGACACCTGTTCCAGGGCCCTAGCGAATTTCCATTTCCTGCAAGTGACCTCACAACAGGCCACAGCCCTTCCTCCTATTTTTAGAAAGCACCCTGTTTATCATAAAGGAGTCATTTTTCACTAACCACCTCTCTCGCCCCAGAGCACTGCACAATTTGTTTCTCAGTTTCTCAGTCTCATGCAGAGAACTCAGTTGCTCTACTTGCAGTGGCCGTGGTTGCTTAGGGCAGGAAATCACAGGCCATGTAAGAACCTGGGTCTTATTTCCCACTGGGCCTGGGGTAGATCTGGGTCACCTTCGCCCTTGAGGAACCAGCCTAGGCAGTGGTCATTCTCCTTGGAGGCCTACAGAGACGATGGACTTGAAAGCCCAGGAAGCGACACCGAGGAGAGACTTTCTGGACACACTGCAGGTTTAACAAGACCCAAGCTTCTAAGGAAGCCTGCTGTCACCCCCTGCAGAAAGCCGACACCCATCCCTCAACATGGCAAAAATGGCTGGGTGTGCAGCAGGAGAAGGGAAACCAGAAATGCCCGCGTCCCAGGGGTGACCGTCAGTACCCAAAGCAGCGGGTTCCTAAGGCACGCAGCTGCGGGGAGGATTACTCGACTACCCAGTTTGACCCCAAGATGTTTCTGGGACTCCAGGGATATCCAGGTGGCTGGCTGCACTAACTTGGCGCATGTGCACACAGAGAGGCTAGATCTGCTGCTTAAGAATTACATGGGGAACCTCTTAAAAACACATCTTTTTCAACTCCAAACCATCCAGAGTTTGATTCAATAGGTCTGAGAGGGGGTCTCAGTGTCCCAGCTGGTTGTGAACACGGCCAAGTTCAGAGACCGGGGATCTAGAGAACTGGCCGTTGAGTGATCAGGACGCCCTGGGCCTGGTGACCTCCCTAGGCCTCCAGTGATCTCGGTAGGCCTGTCGCCCTCACTGCCAGTTCACTCTGGTCCATGAACGAAAATGCTTCCTAAAGCCAACCTGCAGAAAAGTCAGTGCCAACTTCACAATATTTAAGTCTTTTATTTTTTGACTTTGGCAGGAAATGCTGAAGAAGAGCAAGTCCGATGAAATACCCAATGGTTTCCACACCCCATCTCCCCACTCACACACCCCTTTCTGCCACTCTCTAGGACGGCCCCATCTTCCTACTTGCTTGCCTGGCAGTCACAGACAGAAACTAGGAGCCAGGGTAGGGTTCACGTTATCCCCGCTGTTTACTTTTATGATCTAACTGTAACCCGACTTTCTAGGCCCTCAGCTGGCTTCTTGCAGTGCTCCTAGCCTCCTTAAAGGGAAAGCAGCTCTGACAGAGGGGCTAATTCATGTCCATTTGGCCAAGCCTGCCTGGCCCACGAGGCCCAGGAACTGATCTCTTGCTCTCACTGACACAGTCTAGCTCGTACAAAGAGCCGAGCAGTAGAGCTAACAGAACCCTCCCCGTCCTCCCCCAGACCCAGCCACCCTCCTTCCCACCTCAGGCCCCTCTTACCCTGGCACAGTTTAACCAGGCCCATGATGATGATGGCAATGAGCGCTAGGACCTTAGCATAAGTGAACGTATCCTGTACACGTGTACCCCACTTGACATAGGCACAGTTCACAAACGTCAGCAGACCTAGAAGGAAAACCATACGGTCACTGGCAGGCTTGAGCTTAGGGCACGGAGGCCCAACCTTTCTGTATAGAGTATATCACTTCCGCCCTGTCTGCGTGCATCAACCCATATTCATAAATTCCTTTTTTTTTTTAATTTCAAGAGTACATTTATTAAAGCTGGGGACGGTGAAACACGGAAGGGCTTAGGACAGAAGAAGCAATAACAGAAAGCCTGGGAGGGGCTGCTCTGGCTCTCCAGAAACACACGAAAGGCAGCCACGCGGGGCTGTGAGGACTCGCTGAGGAGTGAAAGTCACACTGACAGAGTGAGCCGTCACAGTAAGGCCGCTGTCAGCTCACTGAGAAGTCAGACTGAAGGGGGCCCTGGAGGCAGGTTCGGGGGCTAGCCAGGACAAGCTGCCACTGCCCACTGCTCCCTGGGTCGCAAGTCTCGTGGGGACCCTTAGAGTTTAGGAGATGCACGCCTGAGAGGGAAGAAAGGCGTGGGCGTGCTCCCAGGGTGGGAAGGGTGTGCCCGTATTCATAAATCTGACAACCGGAACCATTTTTGGAAACTCCCCCCAGGCCCAGAAATGGTAGACTTCACCCTACTCCTCTCCCCTCGGACTCCCAAGGCCCCAAACCACCCAAGACACAAGACGTATCCATGGCCCCCTTAGAGAGTAGAGACAAGGGAGGCCCATTAATAAATGAGGTAAATTTGCCCTGGCTGGTGTGGCTCAATGAACTGAGTACCAGTCTGTGAACCAAAGGGCCACCAGTTCGATTCCCAGTCAGGGCGCATGCCTGGGTTGCAGGCCAGGCCCCCAGTTGGGGTCACGTGACAGGCAACCACACATTGATGTTTCTCTCTTTCTGCCTCCCTTATCCTCTCTCTAAAAATAAATAAATAAAATCTTATAAGAAATATTTTTAAATAATAAATGAGGTGAATTTGAATGTAGGTGGCAGGTCACCTAGGAATTAGAGACACATTTTTCGTGTAAGAATAAAAAATACAAACTGTCACATGCCTAACAATTTCACATACATCCTCTCAGTTAATTCTCACAACCCCAAAATAGAGACACTCCTAGTCCCATTGTATAGATGAGAAAACCGAGGCTGAGAGAGGCTAACTGCCATTCCTGAGCTCACACGGACCCCACAGATCTCCCCCACTCCCATTTCTATGCCACCCCCCACCCCTCGCCAATTCTGGGTACAGTCCGTGGAGAAGTGAGCTCACCTGGGCGTTCCCTAGGCTCCTGTCAGCCCTGCTGGCTTTACACTGCAGCTCCTCACACACCTCAGCGGCACCTGGGCCCTGTGCTGAGGACCCCGGCACCTTCCGATCCACAGGGAAGACACGACAACAACATACAAGGGGTTCCGCAGTGACACCTCTAAGTACTGCCCCTGGCCTCCGAAGCCAGAACTTTTATACGACCCCCAAATGTTATTAAAAATACTCTGGGCTCATCCTCCAGGCCACCTTTACCTACTCCTACCTAATATGCACCCTCTCCTTCAGTCGGACTCGCTCTTTACCGGTGCCAAATACACGCAAAAAAGAAATGCCATTCTCTCCTCCCCCTGCCACAGCCGACAGCAGCTCCCACTTTCCAGGTCTAGCTCCATCCCCACATCCTCTGTAAAACCTTCCCCAAACACACCAGCCAGCGCTCCCTGAGCTCTCTTCCCCCTTAACCTGACGGCATTCCCAGACACAGCATGGCTTCGCGTCTCCTGCTACAGTCACGTGAACATGTGTCTCAAGAAGGTCTCTCCCTCTGGCACTTGGGTGGTGCTTTTCCAAGGAAATCATACATTCTTAGGAGGAAACAAAAACATTTTGTTTTCTTAAGCTTGCTGCCAAGCAAAGGGGAAATGATGAGCTCTGGTTAGAATCAAGATGGTGATGACTTCACTTGACCTCGAATTCTGGGGAACAAGGCAACTGTCAGAAACTTGGACACTCCTCCACTCGACTGGAGAAGAAAGCCTGGGGCCAGCCTGTAGGTACAAACTAGGTGGCTGATCAACTTCGGAGACACTTCAAGAGGTTTCACTCAGTACCCTTGGCAAATGACACAGGCCCTTACTAGTCAGTCATATGCAGCAGGGTTGGGGGGTGTAGGCAATGGTCATTGAAAGGGGAGAAGACCAGAGGAATGCATCCTGCTGGCCGCCTTCCTGGGGACCTGCCCCGCTAGCTGAGGTTCGCTGTGTGGAACTAAGCCTAGGTCAGCTAACACAAGGATAGCCTCGTTAACAGCCGCCGGTCATCCACAGACCCTCGTGCAATACAATAAGCATAATCTGAGGCACCTGCCTACCTGCCAGACCCCCTTCTTGGGAAATGCTGCTTCTCCCTCCACTACCGTGCATGATCAAGCCAGACCCTGGCCCAGGGTCGTCTTTCCCAGGAATATGGAGCTGGGATTCCAAGAGACTGAATCTATCTAAAAGCAGCAGGGTCAGGACCACAGCAAGTCAAAAGTCACATACGAACCCTTGTGTTAAAGAAACAAAAACCACAAGAAAGCAGAGAAGGAAGCAGGACTCCAGAAAGAACTGAGAGGGTGTAGAGCTTGTAAGAAAAAGACTGACAGAGAAAGACAGAAATACACAGAAGACAGACACAGCGGAGAGAGACAAGAGGCAAAGACAAGGAGACAGAGAGAGAAGGGGACAAAAGAGAGAGAAAGGTGGTATGCACTCAAAGAGACAGTCTCACAACATCCGGCTTCGCTCACGGTACCAAAGTGCGGCAGCGAGCAGGGGAGAAAGGTGGACAGACTCCTCAGCCCCCCAAACAGACACTCCCTCTCACTTCTGCTCCTTCGCCTTCCCACAGCCCTGCTACCAGCTTCCCCCAGGCTGAGTCCTCTCTGCACACAGTGGGAATTCAACCACTACTGCTGCAGGGATGAGGGAAAGCGGCGCCTCTTGTGAAGAAAGACTAGCTGATACGAAAGAGCCTTGGTGCTGTGGCTGCTCTTGGGGGGGGGGGCGTCAGGTGCGGGAGGGGGGGGGAGACCTTTCCACTCTGCGCCCTTTCATACTTTGACTTATTTACCATGAACATATGCTTCTTTCTCAATAAAAATAACGACATATAAGAGCATGCAGCCAGCCAGAGAGCAGGGCCAGGAGCAGGGCGAGCAAGTAAGGCACCTAGGGCACAAAAGTTCCAAAGGCACACGCTGTCAGAAGGCCACTTGGCAAACCGCCCTTATACACTGGCCCCAGGTGCCTTGCTTGCCTCACCCAACTCGCAGCCCTGCCAGAGAACAGAGAACAGCTCTGAAGACAGTCCACCAAGCAGCGGTCACGTGTTCTGAATTAAGAAAGAAAATTTCACCATCTGGTCCTCACCCCTCCGAGCCTCCCAGGACACCCATCCCCACCTGGTACCGCAGAACACCAGCCCTCGAACACAGGCCAACGGGGACGACAACTCAGCCACCGCCGTTAAACACCCAAGCCTTCTCTGCCCTCCTAGTCTCACCTCCTCGCTGGAAAGCCTCCCTCCGTGAGTGCAGGGCCCACACAAGGGGTCCTCAAGGCTCTCTGGGGGCTTGTTGCTGGGAAAGGAGGCTTCCTAGTCCCAACCCCAAGGCAGAAACAAGTCCCCAATATCTGTTTTTCTACTTTTCCTCAGTAATGGAAATTACTGAGCTAGCTATCTTCCAATATTTGTTTTTCTACTTTTCCTCAGTAATGGAAATTTTAGCTGGAGTCATAATAAAGGTGACACTGCTTTGCAAGGAAGTAGAACCAGGTAACTAGGTCCCTGCCCCAGGATGTAAGCAAAGTTTTATATGAATAAGACTTCAGGAAGTGTGGCTGGGGCATGCCTTTCTTTGCCCTTCCTGTCAGCTACACCGCAGACAACAGCTACAGCGTGAGTAGCCATCCTGCACCACTGGCTAGAAGTCACGTGCTGCGGGCGGCAGAGCGTGAGGCGGAGGAAAGAAACCTGACTCCCGGAAGAATTATGAAGTCATCCTACAAGCCCCACACTGTCGACTTCTAACGTGAGAGGAACGCATTTCAGTCCGTGTGAGCTATGCTCCCTTTGGTCGGCAGTTGTTTGAAACACAACCTAATCCTGAATAATGCAGCCGCCCCGCAGACAGACCTGCGCCTCCCCTACTCTCTGATGAGGAGCTGCTGGCCTGGCAACCTGACACCTAGTCCCAGTTATGTGGAAAGTCACAGCTCCTTTTCCTACAGCAACAGGGGGAGAAAGGAACCCTCCCGATTCCCCCCACAGACAGGCTGGGCATTCCTAAGTGGCGTTCGAGGACAGGGGAGGGTAATCCTTCACAAGGAGAAGGTGGGAAATGGGAAAAGGGAAAAGGGGGTGGAGGGTGAGGACCAACTACAGGTCTATTGGAGAGACATGTTCTGCAGCCGTCAGGAGAGGCACGGCCCTCCACAGGGGGGCCCTGTAATCAGGAGCTACCTCTTGGGATATGTACGAATATGTAATGTACATGTCTTTTTAAAAGCCTCCTTGTCTTTAGCTACACAAATTTCCACTTTTAGTATCAAAAGTTTCAACTGATATGTAGGGTTAGAGCACAAGGTCTTTCAACAACTATGGCCAAGACCTAGTCCTCTCTAGGCCTGGCACTGTCGGAACATGGGAACTGTCTATCCACAGCAGTGACCGACCAAGACAGGGCGCACTGCCTGCTCAGAACCTGCCCGGGCCTGAGTTCGAGACAGCGAGAGACGACAGCTATCCAGGCAGCACAGTGATTCTTCACTCCAGTCCCACCCTTGACAATATTCTTCCCCTTCCTCCTCCTCCCCCTCACCAACCCCAGTCCACCATATTCTTCCCCTTCCTCCTCCTCCTCTTCCTCACTGTCAGCCTTGCCAAACCCTCAGGGGCAATGGAGTCTCAGCTGTGAGAGACTCAGCCCTCTGCTTTGATGCCACTATGTCAGTGCTGAATTGACTTCCATGTTGAAACCTTCACTGCAAATACTTACCAATAATAAT